GTTCCCCCCATAAGTGCATCAATGCAATTCATAACCACTCTGAAGGAACATTCTTGCCAATCAATATTGATCCGATATTTAATTGATATGTATTTCTCGTAATGTTTATAGTTATGGCCTCCTGAAATCTGATCCCTTCTCTTCAAGCACATAACGCTCAAACCAATAAAATGTTTCTGATTTCATTTTGTGTGGATGCAGGTCATGGAGGAAACAGGTTTTGATTTTTCAAAACTTCTTAACAAAGATGATTACATTGAAATGATTTTTGGACAGCAGAGAGTGAGGCTGTACATAGTTGCTGGAGTGAAAGATGATACAGCCTTTGCTCCTCTCACTAAAAAAGAGATAAGTGTAAGTCATTTTTCCATTGAAAAGCCCAAAATTCGCCAACTTCATTTTGTGGCAATGCCTTTTTATCTTTAAGGTTGAACTTAGTTTTTCTTTTCTTCTGTTTTCTGTTCTGACCTTTGCCTAGATCTTTCTGGGAAAAAAGTGCAAAAGATAGGCTTTTCTGCTTATACATTGTGTGTTGTATACCTATAAATGCCTAAGTCTTGTGTGAATATTCGCATGTTTATCAAATCTGATTTAGGACAACTAAACTATGTTGGGATAATATTCAGGAGATTGCATGGCACCGACTTGATGAACTTCATCCTGCAAGTGATGATGTCATATCTCGTGCGACCACTGGCCTCAAGCTTTACATGGTTGCTCCATTTCTTAAGTGAGTTTGTTGGCATGCAGTTTGTGCGATCTCCTAACTGTGTATTGGTTTCTTATAGATCCAGACCTCTTTTGTAGATCTTTGAAATCATGGATTGCTGCTCATCCATCTCCCTTAGCACCTACAACAGACAGACCTTTGAAAGGTCCTCTCTCTCTCTCAACGTTCTGCTTCTCAATCTATTATCCCCTGACTTTTCAGTTCTATATTTTTATATCCTTATAGCACATGATAGACTCTAGTGGCCTCGGTTCAAGGCTCATTAATTTCTTCTTAATTGAAAATGTAAATACTAGAAAGGAGATGAACCTTGATGGTTTAATGTGCTTCTATCGGCAATTGATGCTTAATGACCTTTGAGTCTCGAGCATTGAAACAACTCCCCGTCTCGCATTGTTGTTAGATGCAGGGCAATATTTTGGGATTTGGACAAATTAAGTGGGAAAATTCTGACAGTATGACCATTTATATGGTGGCTTATCTTGGTAAGGCCTACATTTGCAAACCAGCCTTTATGGTTGGGTTGCGATGATAATTTAATGGGCGTGATTATCATTCT